TTACATCTTTAATCTATTTTATTTTTGTATGTGGTGTAAGAAAGTGGTCCAGTTTTCCCAGCACCATTTATTGAAGAGACTGTCCTTGCCCCCATATTCTTGCCTCCTTTTTTGTAAATTAATTGACCATAAAAATGTGGGTTTATTTTGGGGCTCTGCATTCTGTTCCATTGATCTATGTATGTTTGGTGCCAGTATCATACTGCTTTGATTACTATAGCTTTGTATTATAGTTTGAAATCAGGGAGTATGATGCCTCCAGCTTTATCTTCTTTCTCAAGATTGCTTTGGTTATTTGGGGGGTTTTGTGGTACCATACAAATTTTAGGATTATTTGTTCTATCTCTATGAAAAACACCATTGGAATTTTGATACGTATTGCATTGAACCTGTGGTATGGATATTTTAACAATATTATTCCAATCCATGAGCATGGGATAGCTTTCAATTTATTTGTGTTTTCCTTGATTTCTCTCGTCAGTGTCTTATAGTTTTCAGCATTTAGGTCTTTTACCTCCTTGGTTAAATTTATTCCTAGGCATTTTATTCTCTTTGATACAATTGTAATTGGAATTATTCTCTTAATTTCTTTCTGCTAATTCATTATTAGCATATAGAAACAACTGATTTTTGTATTCTGCAACTTACTGAATCATTTATTAGTTCTAAGAGGTTTTGTTGTTGTTGTTGTTGGACTCTTTAGGGTTTTCTCTATGTGATATTGTGTTATCTACAAATAGTGACAGTTTTACTTCTTCCTTTCTGGATGACTTTTCTTTTTCTTGTCTGATTGCTGTAGTTAGGACTTCCAATACTATGTTGAATAAAAGTAGCAAGAGTGGGTATCCTTGCCTTGTTCCTGATCTTAGAGGAAAAACTTTTCAGCTGAAGTGAGTCTTTTGTATGCAGCATATAGACAGGTCTTGTTTTATCTACTCAGCCACCCTGTGTCTCATGATTGAAACATTTACTGCATTTATATTTAAGTGATTATTGATTTATATTGATTTATATTTAAGTGATTATTGATAGGCGCCATTATTATTGATTATTGCCATTTGGCTCATTGTTTTCTGGTTGTTTTTGTAGTTCTTCTGTCCCTTTCTTCTTCTCTTGGTCTCTTCCCTTGTGGTTCAGTAATTTTCTTTAATGCTATGTTTGGGTTCCTTTCACTTTATTTGCTTGTATCTATTGTAGGTTTTTGTTTATGGTTACCATGAGGTTCATACATATTGACATGTGTGTGTATGTACATGTATATACATATGTATACATATGCATACACACACATGTACATATACATGTGTATATAGTTTATTTTAAGCTGATAGTCATGTAAGTTCAAACATATCCCAAAAGCACTACATTTTTACCACCCCCTCCATGCATTGTTTTATGACATCCTATTTTACCTTTTATTTTGTGTATACCTTAACCATTTATTGTAGCTACAGTTGATTTTACTCCTTTTGTCTTTTAATCTTCACAGAAGCTTTTTAAGTGGTTAATCCACTGCCTTTACTATATATTTGCTTTTATCAGTAAGATTTTTTTCTTTCATATATATTTTTATTTCTAGTTATGGTCTTATCTTTTCTGTTTAAAGAAGACCTTTTAACACTTCTTGTAAGACCTGTTAGTTCAGTAGTGATGAGCTCCTTTAGGTTTTGCTTGTTTGCTCTGTATCTCTCCTTCAATTCTGAATGATAAACTTGCCAGGTAGAGTATTCTTGATTTTAAGTATATTTCCTTTCTACACTTTAAACATATCCTGCCACACACTGTGGCCTGCAAAGTTTCTGTTGAAAAATCAGCTAATATCTTATGGGGCTTCCCTTGTATGTGACTAGTTGTTTTTCTCTTGCTGCCTTCAAAATTCTTTAACTTCTGCTTTGTTAATTATATCTTGGTATGTATCTCTTTGGGTTCATCTTGTTCGGGACTCTGTGATTCCTGGACTTGGATGTCTGTTTCTTTCCCCAGGTTAGGAAAGTTTTCAGCCATTATTTCTTCAGAAAAGTTTTCTGCCCCTTTCTCTCTTCTTTTTCTGGGACCCCTATTATGCAAATGTTAGTGCATTTGATATTGTCCCAGAGGTCCCTTAAACTACCTGCACTTAAAGTTTTTTCTTTTTGCTGTTCTTATTGGATAATTTCCACTATATTATGTCTTCCAGATCACTGATCCATTCTTCTGTATCATCTGATCTGCTGTTGATTAGGAACAATAGAGAGGAATAGTGAAACATGTTTGTGAACTTTCGTCAACAGGAAAACATTAAGGAGCTGCAGTGCATTGCATGAGCCAAAGAGACCTGCCCATGAGAGTACACTGTCACACAGAAGGTCTATGAGAGCAACTTAGGACCTAGAAAGAAAGCCACTGCTAGGGCGACTTCACTCTGCTGCTGAAACTCCAATGATATGAAGACCCATTAAATAGAAAGGCAAGAAGAAATGCTCAGTTTGATGTAGCAAGGGAATCCAGAAATTATCATCAGAGTGAGAAAAGCACTGCACGCCACTTCCTAGCTCCTTAAGGACTTCGTTGAGCTTAAAGTCCTGAAGAATTTCATAAATTGGAAATAAAAATGAACTTTTATTTCTTGTGCACTTGGAGTTCTGGGTGGGAGCTAACTATAGAATTTCTTCATCTTTCCCTATCTTAAACCAACATGTAGCTTT